TTTTTTTTTTTTTTTTTTTTTTTTTTTTTTAAATTTTCTCATCATTTTCCTTCTCATCTACAAAACAATATCAAAAAGCTTGCAATTTCTCAAAAGCTTAAGTTATAAACTAAAATTAGCTTTCTAGAAATTAAGATAACTTTGGATCAAATCAAAGACTCGAGTCAAAAGAAATTAAGATAAGTGCTTCAATTTATACTACAAAATTAAAGCAAATATAAGATTAAAGCAAATATAACACTTATCATGTTATTATTTTCTTTTTAAATGATTGCTTTTTGACTGTTTGCCTACAAAGCCAATGCATCCATGTTGTTATTGAAGGAAGAATCTCATTCAATAATAGAAGCCTGCATGCTATTGGAGATACACCTAACCCCTACGAGAAAGCCATCTCCATCATTGGCAAGACTCTGGCTCCTTTTGATGAAGACAACTTGATTCCTTGTTTTGGATTTGGTGATGGTAAGGCCTAATTATCCTTGTAGGTTTAGGGTTTTTTAGATAAATTTATCCAAAAACAATTCTGGAAGGATAAAGTATAAAGGAAAAATAAAGTAAGCTTCTTCAAGCTTTTTTGTAATTTTTTAAAGAAGGTATATGAGAAAATCTTTACAAATTAGTTTATGTCTGACTTATGAAGAAGCATATTTCATTTTTCCTCCTAGAAGTGCTTCTAATAAAATTTATCCAAACAGGTTCTTATAGCAGAACATGTATAAAAGAAAGTTAGTTATTCCAATATTAAAGTGGTTTAACTTCTGTTTCTAAACAGCCACCACTCATGATCAGGAAGTGTTTAGCTTTCACAGTGATCATTCATCTTGCCATGGTTTTGAGGAAGTCTTGGCTTGCTATCAAAAAGTTGTTCCAAACTTGAGTCTTTCAGGTAATTTTCATCTTAGCTTGTACTGCTCTTATTTCAATCACTTAGCTCAATATGCTTTAATTGATTAATTGCTGGTTAAAAACTGATCTATCTGTTGAAAAACATTTCAGACTCGAAATGATGATTTAATAGAATATAAATGGATGGCTGGAATAAGCTTTCTGGTCACAGTCCATGGTTTAGTAATTTTGAAATGGAGTAGATTTCTCGGTTATTAAAGTTTGATCTAAATGACATGAATGTTCCACTTTAGAAAATAAAGAACATTACTTTTTTCACGTAATGTTTGAATTCAATGATGTATTATATTTTAGGTTAAAATATACTTGTACTCCTTTATCTTATATTTAAAATTTATTTTAATTCTTTATCTTTTAAAATATGTATTTTGGTCTTTCATTTTCTAAATTTGAGTCAATTTAACCTTTTTGAAATAATAATTATTTTCAATTTTGATACATGTTTTTCAAAACTATTAACCACAACTAAAGTTCAAATTAAAAAAGTGTCCCATAAAAATAAGTTTAAAAAGCAACTAAAAAATTAAAAGGTTTAATTTCAAAATTATGTTTTTCATAATAAAATATGAGATTAAAATGTGGTACTTTTTCTTCAGTTAGAAATTATGGAACTAAAGTGAATGGAAGATAAGTTTTATTTGAAGTTTGAACAGTCAGTGTGCCAAATGCCAGTATAGAACAATCAATCTCACCTCTCCTAGAAGCAATGATGACTCCTAGTTTTATAGAATGAGGCATGAATAGAAATTCCATTCCTCGTTGTGCGTGTTAACAAAAAAAAGTACTCATCTAATGGAATAAATCCTATAATGGAGTAATAATCATTAATTACCTATGTCAAACATAGCATTAGAGAACTTATGACTAAAGTCATGGCTGAAGAAATATTTGTATTTTGTTTGAAGGACCAACATCTTACGCTCCAGTGATCGAGGCTGCAATAGACATAGTTGAGAAAAGTCATGGCCAATTCCATGTGTTAGTTATTGTTGCAGATGGCCAGGTATATAATATCACCTATCTGCTTATGTATTTATTTATGGTGTAATTAGGATACCCTCATAAATTGAAATGTTTTGGTACATTTTTTTTTTTGTCATTGAGTTACATGCTTCACATTTATATAGTATTTTTTCTCCACATTTCAATTAATTTCTTGTATCATATTAGTTATTCAATAAAAATGTAGAAATACAATTTTAAGACTTATGAAATGTGGAGAGAAAAAATGTTTGTAATAATAGTTTGATCCATCAAATGTGAGAGGTCTAACCTTTATTTTGTTTGTTTACCGGTATCAAATACTCATAATACTTCTAACCAAACCAACTATTTGAAACAAGTACAAAACTATACCATGACAAAAAAAATAAATAAAAAATTAATTATTATTAATTTAAAAATTGACAATTTCAAAATCCATCAAATTTATGTGGGTATGGGAGAATTTCTCATTTATTTATATGTGCACGAGATTGTCCGATTTGTATAATTTTGTTCAATTTGAAGGTCACAACCAATGCCGTCACTGGAGATGGAGAACTCAGTCCACAAGAAGCAAGGACAATCAAAGCAATAGCAGATGCAAGGTACATATGACCAATTGATAACTAAATCATCCCTAGATGCTTATTAAGATGAATTGTTTGTATTATAAAATGAAAACTATGAAAAAAAACACATCCAAATTATCAAGCGAAATGGAAGTTAGTGAAAAATAAGGTTCTAATGATCTAAACATGGCAAACAATTGAAACAAACACGTTCAGATCATTTTAAAAAAAATTGCAGAAGCTAAAGAACCAACCTTCAGCCATTGTTGTTGTTTGCTTGTTTGCTTCTGGTTTCCGAACCCTTTCTCTTAATACATGATGGTGTTATATGCTGAAGAGGAGAGTAGGTTCAGTGACCCAAAACAGAGATATGCGTCCAATTTATAGAACTCTAGTCCATCAGAGTCTCTTTTGAACGTTGGAGAAATATTTGGGAATTATGATACCATATCTGCAAGTTATTTGATAATGGGTTGAATCAACATCAATAATGGATCACATTTAAAATATGTTAACTTCTTAATAGAGGAGAAAAATCAGGAGTGTATACGTGAAAATCGGAGGCACGTTGCTTCCATTTATTCTACTATTGCAAAAACTGTTTAAAAGAACATAGTGTATTATGCCAACAGTTAGCCTCAACTATGAGAGAAATATAATCATCTTGTCTACAATGTTAGTGTTCGAGTGCAAGTAAGAAGTATAAGATAGATATATTGAACAACTAAGTGAGAAGAACCCACAAATTTAATATCACTAAGTTTTGGATAAGATGCAATGTCAAGTTTACTAATGTAAATGTAACTATTTGATACAGGGTGTGTTTGGGTAAACTTTTGCAAAATACTAAATAAGAAAAAAAATGAAACATGTTTCTCCATATGCTAAAAATAATTTATGCACAAACTAATTTGTAACTTTTTAAGAAAGTGTATGATAAAACTTTTATAAATTAGTTTATACAAAAACTAATTTTAACTTATGGATAAATTATTTCATTTTCCCTTCATATATATTTTTTTTTCTAGAAGTGTTTTTGGATAAGTTTATCCGAACAAACCCGTTCATCAAAACATGCAGCTGCTTAAATCGAGCATTAATTTTCTGTATTCTACTTTTTCTGCTGCTAGTTCATACCCCCTTTCTATTATTCTGGTTGGAGTTGGTGACGGACCTTGGGATGACATGAAGAAGTTTGATGACAAGATACCGGCTCGTGATTTCGACAATTTTCAGGTATGGAAACAATAGCAGAAAATTTCGAATGACATTACCTATTTGCATTTTGTTGGAGATCCCATGTCCATGAGAAATAAGGTCAAAATAGAATAAATAAGTGCAAAACAAACCTTATTTTACAAGCCAATGTTATAAGGTTGAGTTAAGTTTAAATTCATTTTCTTAGAATGATATCAAAGTCTATTCTAATGATTGTTGTTTGACCTATCGTGTCGTCCACTTTTTGACCGCTCACAAATGTTTAATCCTCAACATGAGGGGTATCTTGAAGATCTCACGTTCACTACAAATAAGACCAAATTATAGTATACAAGTGAAGAACAACTTTTACCTTACAATTCAGATTTGTAGTTGTTAGGCACAAATCCACTTTCTTAAGCATCTCTTACCTTTTCCTGCAGTTTGTTAACTTCACTGAAATAATGTCCAAGAAATCAAGCCCCTCTGAAAAAGAAGCTGCTTTTGCTCTGGCTGCTCTAATGGAGATACCTTTCCAATACAAAGCAGTCATTGAACTTGGACTACTTGGGTTCGTTCCTTACATACAAGCTTAAGTTTCATCAGATTAAGTGTGAAACTGTTTTGAACACACTTAGGTGACTGTTTGTTACAAATTTCTGTTTGATGTTCACTTTTTCTTCTTTGTTTTTGGACAAAAGTCGTGCAACAGGAAGGGCAAATAAAATAGTTCCAAGACCTCCTCCAGCTCGTTATGCCAGGCTTGTGCCTCCAGCTCGTGTTCTGAACAATGTGCCATCCTTCATGGATGATGTGAGAAATCAAACGGTACATATATGATTGAAACCTTGAGTCTTTCACTATATTCTCCTTTATCACTGCATAGTAAGTTAGATTGTGTTTAAAAAACGAGTAATTTATTTTGGGTAAATTAGACTTTACTCCCCTATGGTACACTTTTTCAACTTACCTCCTGAACTCTGTCATTGAAACCTCTGAATTTTTAGTTCAAGTGAAAAAAAGTTACAGCCACGATTTTAACTGGGCTTAACACGCCTAAAGCTATGACTAAATTAAGCAAAGCTGATAGAATTCATGGTCTATTTGGTTAAACCTTTCCTGAAACACTTTTAAGAGAAAAAAATAGGAAGAAAAAATGAAATAAACTTTTCTATAGAAATTAGTTTATACATAACTTAATTTGTAAAAGTCTCCTTATATTAGCTTTTTCAAAATCTTATTTTTACCTCATGTAATTTTAACTTATGGAAAAATTTATTTCAGTTTTCTTTCTTATTTTTTTCTTGGAGAACTGCTTATGAAGAGGTTTATTCAAACATGCCCTTAGCAATTATCATTTTAACTAAAACTTCATGGAACAAGGTTTCCCTTTCTGTCGAGATTGAAGTTGCATAATGATACTATTTTTTTGTTTTTATCCAATGAAATTATGTAGGCATGTGCTATTTGTCTAACAAATGCAAAGGATTTGGCATTTGGATGTGGTCACATGGTGAGCCTCATTAAATTCACGGTCTCTTTTCCTTGTTGGATAGTTCATTTGATGATTTTTAACAATTTTTGGAATGCAGACTTGTAGAGACTGTGGATCCAGGTTAACTAATTGTCCGATATGTCGTCAGAGGATCACCAATCGTCTTAGGGTGTTTTCTGGCTGATTGCAGAATGGAAAATCATGTGCAATGTATATTTTGACTAAGGCCCTGTTTGGATAAATTCCTCCTCCAAGTGTTTGTTTGGACTTTGGATTGAATTTCTCCCACAAATTAAAATCAACTTATCACTTAAGCCTTTGGAGAAGTTTGATGGGAGAACTTCTAAAAGGTTAAAGTGCATAAGTTGATTTTAACTTAAGAAAGAAACTTAATTTACTTTACTTTTTATGAAGTGTTTATGGAGAAATTTATTTAAATAGGGCTGAAAAGATAACTGTCTTTTGTATGTTTGATGGTGTGGCTTTAAGAGCGCTCAAGAATGACCATGTTGCATAGAAAAGGTGGTTTCGAAATTCGAATTGCAGGATGGCTAGGAGTTGACCATGATGGCACATGTATAATATGTGTTTGAATTTGAAGAAATTTGTTTCAATCGCTGCACAATGTACATATTGTTTATATGCACTTATGTTAAAATTGTATGTACTGTTAGAGGATTGTGCTAGATATTCATTGGAATCCCATATTAGCTATTATATTCTGTAAGTTATGGACATTGAGAATTCTACGATGTTGAGCTTTAGCATATATAGCTATTAAGAAGGCATAGACTTGAGTTTATACGCTTAGCAGTCTCTATGATAGGTTTATGTGCTAAAGTTCCCTCAATTAGAATAGAGCACAGGGCCACTATCAGAAAAATAGAGAGAATGAGAACTTCTCCAAATCTCCTTTTAATTCCATTTTCATATTCTATATATGCTATACTTTATGTTGCAAATGACAACTCAGCATATCAAATTCTAAAATATAGCAAATCCTAATATCACCTATTAACCTCACGCCCTAGTGAATGACATCATCCCAACCACGTGGTTTTCTTGTCACTATAGTCTTAGGTCTATGCCCACTAACCTCTTGTGCTTTGGAATCTTTCACAGACAAGTATTTTATTCTTAGAATGCAGATTTTGGATGAATTCAACCTTAAAAATTTGCTTGTAAGATGAAAATTGTTTTCACTTATATACTCTAATTTATTTTTATTATTAGTCGACGTGAGATATCTAATAACTATTATTATCCTTTCCTTCTAAACCCAACTTGTCTTTAAGTGTTGAGAATCTGAATCAGTATCTATTATTTGAGTTTATTTCATATTAATGGAGCATTATTAGAATTCCTAGGGTTATGATTTTTTAATTATAGGAATTATAGGTGCTGTTACACTTTTATGAGTATTTATATTTGTCATTTAATTTTATGTTTATGAGCAGAATTTGTATCAACTTTCAATTATGTATTTAAAAGGTTACAAGTATGAATAAAATATATGAGTTTAAGCCTTCTAATTCTTTGTGAATTCCAACAAGTGATATCAAGAGCTTGATTCTTACGGGTTGTGAGGAAAAGTTTATTGAGTGCTAAACACATTGAGGTTGAGTGCAAACACAAAATTGAGTGATTGATGGAGGAAGCCCATGGGCTAAGGGCCCAACTACTAGGGCTATGGCAAGGAGGATTCATGAAGAGTGGGCCCAAGCCCAAGAGAAGCCCATTACTCTGTTTTGTTGGGCTTTGACTCAAGCCTAAGTAGTATAGGGTAGTATAGGATTTGGGCCTTAGAGCCTTGTACTTTCTTTGGACCTTGTATTTCCGGCCATGTAGTGTAGAATATACATTTAGAGGTCATGTGAATTTAGGGTTATTTCGGTTACATGTGAAGTTATATTAGCATGTAATTAGAAGCACATTTGGTGTGCATTTCGGCCATGTGCAACACATGCACATGGTGTGATCCGAAATGCAACTCAAATGGCTTCTTAATTACATACCAAATGAACTAGCACATGGGCGATCCGGGTTTTGGCACCAAAATTTGAATTTTGAATTCAAATTTTGGGCGCCTAAGGTTAAGTGAACCTTACCTTGGTTCCACTTAACCTTAGACTAACCCAAGGTCACCTTAACCTAATTTTATCCTATAAATCACTATGGCCGAGACTTGTATGATACTTTTGGATTAATTGAATGAGTTTTCATTACTTGAAATCTCCCCCTCCGAAAGTCTCTCACAACCTTGCTCTACCCTACTTGAGCTCCTCTCTTTGTAGAGCTAGGTTGATCATCTTCTTCCGGATTTAGCTTGTTCAAGCTTAGGTCTCATTGGTTCTTCTTGGAGCATCCGTCCTTGTCATTCTTCCAAGGATCCAAGAAGAATTTGAAGGTGTTCATGAGGATTCACTAAGTGGAACCTCATCA